CACTGGAACCTGTTGGCGCCTGGGACCAGAGACAGTTCAGGGGTGACAAAGGTCATTGCACTGCCTGGAATTAACTCTCATTTTGACCCAAAGTGTCTTGCAGGGGACAGTGACTAATTACTCCCAGCATATTTGTGTCTTACCACTGAACTTGCACTGTTCTACTGGTTCTGGTTGGACTCCACTGCCGGAGCAGGAGCTCTCTCTTCTCCAGGGAGGGCAGATCCTCAGGTGGCTGTGATTCAGCTAAGCCAGGCTCAGCTCCAGGAAACCTTTCCTGTACCCAACACTTTAATGTCCGCACGATCCTTCCCCAAGCCTAGGACATGGAAAACGGGGTCTACCAAAGCCCAGGTTGGAGGCACTTCCCATGGCATGGCCAACCTGAGCCACAGCCGCCCAGGGAGCCACCTTAGCTCCTTGTGCTGAGATCTTCTCCCCCTTCTCCCCTCAGGACTTTCCATCCATTGCTTCCAATTTACTTTGTGCCATGACCAAGGACTTTTTTGGGGGGTTTCCTTATGTTTTGCTGCTGTAAAACACAGGCAACCATTGGTGCTCATCATCCTGTGCATTTGCTGTCACATTGGTGGGATCAGCCTGAATCCCAGGCTTTGATCCTCCATCTGCAGGGAGTTTCCATGCACCTTGGCCAGATGGTGGGCACAGCCCAAACCTCTCCCCAGCTCCCAGCAGGACCTCTCTGCTCCTGGGGTGCTGCAGCTGGAGCAGCTCCTTTGGGGAGTGCCAGGGCTGCTCCCCAGGACAGCGTTGCTGGGAGTATGGAGCATCCAGCCAAGCACTGACCCTGGATCTGGTTCTGCAAATCCCCTTGTCTTCGGAAAATTCCTGCCTCCGACTTGTTTTTTTCAGGTTGCGCAGGATCCCCAGGTATTTACAAAACACGCTCCGCTTTCAGCCGCATTCATGGCTTCGGGAGAGGTTTCACCTTCTGGGAATCCGCTCCCTAGCCTGACCTCAGGCTTTTTCTGCCCCAGTGAGGACTCTGTGTTGCTGTACCCACTTGCCCATGTGGCCTTGGCAGCCCCTTCGCCAGCTGGGCTTTCTGCACCACGGTTCTGCAAGTAAGAGCTGCTTTTGGGCTGCAGGGACCTTGCTCCTTCAGCATGGCTGGGAAGCATCAGTGACACTCCGAAGTGCTCCCAGCTCCACTAACGCCTGGTACTCTGCATCCCCCATCTCCTTGGGCATGCATGGTACCCGTGCCAGGCTTGCTTGGCCAGCCCAGCATCACCCTCTCATCTCCCGTCTCTCCTGTGCTCATCACAGGGCATCTACCTCGATATTGGGGTGATGGAGACCGGGCAAATGTGGCTCCCCCTTGGTCACGAGGCAGATCCCAGGGGAATCTGGCTGGGCCATGCTCCAGGTGATGTCCTTGCCACCTCAGCTCCCTTGGGAGAGGGCAGTAGGTCATGGCAGCTGTGACCTGGTTCCCGTCCCACACCTCCGTCCTGCTGGGAAAGGTGGTTGCAGAACAGAGCGTGTTGCCAGCCTGAGGTTGCTTAAGAGGGTTGGGGACAGGAGGTAGAGGAGGAGTCCTCCAGCTGAAACAGTAGGAGGAATTTCGGGGGACACACACAGATGATCATGATGCTCCTGGAAGGTGGCCAGGGCATACCGGCACTTGCAAGAAGCCCCCTGGATGGCTCCAACCCATGAACAAAGGTGAGGTTGGGCCGCCCCTGGTGGGAATGCTGCTTCTCGTGCGAGGTGGTGGGGCTTTGTGACAGCAACCACCAGCCCAGGACTGCGGGTGGTCCCATCCTCCCCCGCCCCGAGCTCAAGGAAGGCAGCAGGGACGTGACCGCGTGTGGCACAAGGCCGGAGCCGATCTCGAAGCGTGGTAGCAAAGAGGAGCCCATGCTAGGAGAGTCCTCTGGAAAGGGCTGGCAGGGTGGGATGGAAGAGGCAGGGGACATCTTCCAGCACAGGCTCTGTAAGGGGTGGGAGTGGATCCCTGCTGAAAAACTGCTACAGAAGAGGGTAAATGTGACAGCAAGTGGAGCTGGGCTTGTCCCCGCTGTCCCCTGCTCCTCCCCACTGCCTGGAAGGGGGTCAGGGCGAGATGGGGGCCAGGGACGTGCTCCAGAGAGGCAGCCGAGCACAGAGGGACAGGAGCCTGTCCCCGCCAGCCAGACAAATGGCAGGGACCACAGCCCCTCTGGGTGCCAGGAAAGGGAGCACAGCAAAGTGAAGGCCAGTGGGCGAGCAGGTGACACGAAGTGTCGTTTCGGGTGGAGAGATGGAGGCAGGGATGGAGGTGCTGGGCGCCATGACCCCACAGGGTCACCTCATCCCACCTGGAGCATCCTCCTGGGGGTGCAGCACCCCAACCCCAGCTCTGCTGCTGCTGCCCGAGGGCAGATGTGCCCTGAGTCCCCACCAAGCCTCATATGGCAGCCCATGAACCTGCCTCTGCTCACAAAGGATTCTCCGGCATCCCGCCACCCCCTCTCCTTCCCGGGGCGGGGAGGGGAGCACGCCTGCCTGGTGTTTTTTTGGCATAAGCAGCTTGCACCACGGCCAAGCCAAGCACTTCAGGCGCCGCTCAAGGGCAGCATGTGCCCAAGGCTGGAAATATCACCAAGGCTGCAAAAAAAAAAAAAAAACCAACCAAAAAAACCCAGCTGGAAAAAAATAAACTAGTTGGTGGAAGCCTTTGCTGAGGACACGGCCGTGCTGAGTGCTGCCAAACCACTTGGGGCGGGCAGGGGGGGCATTCACCAGCACCCTGCCTCAGTTTCCCCCAGTGAGCCCTTGGGAGTGACAGTCCTGGGGTTATCACATGTATAGTGTCACTTTGGGTACCCGGGGCAGGTGCTTTTCGACCCCTTTCTCCTTCCTGCCGTGCCTCTGAGCAGCTCAACATCGCCTTTCGTGACCTCTCCAGCTTCTCATTGGGGACCCAAGTCAAGCATCCAGAGGGGAGGAGAGCCAGACCATGTCTTGGGGCAACTCTGGGACACCTGCAGCTCTTGGCATGACAACCCACTGTCCCCAAAGCCACCTGGGACCATTGCAGGCCCCTCACAAGCTGGCACTGCCCAGCTCCTCCGAGGCTACCAGCACATCCAGCCTCACAGGCAAGGGACAGCCCTGGGCAGAGGTTAGCCGGGAGGAAGGAGCTGCCCTGCCCGGTGAAGTTTTTCTTCATTCCTTGAAAGCCACAGAGACTTGCTGCGTGGGATTCAGGGCTGGAGGCAGCGCCGAGGTGGAGCTGGTGTGATGGATGATGTGACATCATTCCCAAATGCCTCTGCTACAGGTGGCGGTGCCCAAAGCACTGCAGCTGGTGCATGGGGATGCTCAGAAATGGTACCCACCCACCACCTAGCACCCACAGGGAGCATTCCGGCCAGCACCCAGCTTGGGTTTTAATCCATGCCTGGGATGGCACGAGTGGTGCTGGACCAGGAGGTAGCATGTTCCTGCCTGGACATGCCCGAGGCTCCATGGGGACAGGCAGACGCTGCCCTGGCTACATTTACAGCATAAGGACAGCCCGTCCCTGCCAAGCAGAGGGAGATGTGTCTGAGGTTTGCAGCTTGGCTAGGGCCAGGGTTGCAGGGGGCAACGTGGCTGCTGTGCCCCAGACCCACTCTGGGAGGGGAACAACCCTACCTTGGACCCAGGTCCTGGTGTGGCTAAAATCCCCCAGGAGGGCTTTGGAAGGGAGAGGCGAGGTTTGAGATGGGGCATACACTTGATTTTACTGGTGCTTGAGCTACCACTCCTGCCCTTGAGTGTGCAGCCTTGAGCCTGGCAGCAATCCTCACTCCTTCTGGCATGGTCCCCCCCGCTGTCCCGGGAGACGGGGGATCATGCAGTCCCTGCCAGGGGGACGATGGTGCCTGCAAGCCCCAGGGCTGGCTGCTGTGGGCTGAGCACTTGCCCTGGGGGCAGCAGGGCTGGGGATGCAGCAGGAGGGATGCTAGCTTGGCCAGGGTTACCACATCGCCCAGGCCTCTCCAGGCTCCACAGGGGACAGGGACATGGGGCTTCCCAGGCAGGGCCAACCCTGGGACATTTCTAGCAGCACCCAGGCCCTGCTCAGGACCATGGCGATAGCTTCCCAGGGATGCTGGAGGGAGCATCACCGCTTCCTCAGCAGTGCCTCCAGCATCCCAGACCAGCAGCGGGGTGACCTGGGCACAGGGACAAGGGAAGCCAGCCACGTGTCAAATGACTTTATTGCCACAGGGGCCATGGGCCAGACCCAGTTCCCAGAGGGGGTCTGGATCCAGTCCCTTGACCCCTCTAATACTGTTGAGAGGATGACTCCCGAGCCTCCATGCCCATGCACGGGCGCTGAGCATCCTCCATCCTGGCCCCCATGGAGCAGCCCTGGGGCACCACCTCCCATCCTACTGCCTGCGCCTCCAGGAGCTGGAGGCCAACAGGGGAAAGCAAGATGAGACCAAGGGTGCAGAGCCAGGGCTGCACCACGTCCTGCCCTGGGGGCTGCCGGTGTGGGGAGCACCAGGAGCCCCCTCAGCCCCCTCAAACCTCCATGCCGGGTGCCCGCCCCAGGCCCAGCGCCTGCACCAGGTCATCACTGAGCCCACTCTTCAGCGTCCGTCTCACTGCAGGAAGAGGAGAGCGTGGCACTGGGCAGCACGAGCAGCACTGGCCGCTAAGGTCCCCCCGTACCGGGTGCCTGCCTGGACACGGTGGCCCTGGCATGCTGGGGAGGGGTGACAATAGGGTGCAGTGGCATGGTACGGGCTCGGGGTAGCTCCTACTGCAGGCTGGTGGGCTCAACAGGGGAGGTCAGGGATGGCCAGGAGGGAAGGAGCCAGGCAGGGCTGGGGACAAGGACACAGAGATGGGACCAGACATGGGGACGGGGACAGAGGTGGGACATGGACACAAAGATGGGAAAGAGCATCTGGGCAGGAACACACAACATTACAGAGACAGAGCCACAGAGGAAGGACAGAGACAGGACAGGGCATGGGGACAGGGATGGGACTTACAGGACTTCCTATTGCCACGGGACCTCCTGCGCTCCTTGTTGGCGCAGGGCCGGGGGTTGGCGTTGTGAGTCACTGATTTCACCAGCCGGTCCATGATTTCATCTGACGCGTCGTCTGGGGAGCTGGGAACATCCTCCTGGGCTGGAGAGCCCTGGGCCGGGCTGGCATGCCCTGTCCCTGCACAGGGACAATGGGGATGCTGACATCAGCCATGCCCAGCCAGCTGGGCATGCCTCGAGTGCCTCTGCCACCCTGCTCCTACCCCGGCTGGCCCGGCTGCGGCGGGCAGGGACATCCGTGGGGGAGGTCAGCACATTCTTCATGCTCTCGTGACCTGCTTCCATCTGCTCCTCGGGGCCACTGGACACCACGGCGGGCGGTGAAGCGGTGGCCTCGGCGATGCTGGAGAACTTCTCTGTCTGCAGTGGGAGGAGAGGTGGGTGTCGGGGACCTGGGGGGCATCACCTGGTGGTGGCAGCCAGCCAAATGTCCCTGTACCTCAGTGATGAGCCGTCCACGGGTCTTGGTGCGCTCGCGGTGGGCAGCCCGTTTCTTCTGCTGCTGCAGGACACGCTCCCGGCAGGTACGGTACTCCAGGGCAAACTCCCGCAGCAGCTTGCAGATGGGTGTCACCTTCACATCCCGCGCCGTGCTTGCCGGGTACCCCAGGTACAGCAAGAAAGAGTGAAACCTGTGGGGACGTCAGTTACAGCAGGCCACCAGCAGGACCGCAGGGTTCCCGCCATGTCCCCAGGACCTCCAGCCACTGACCTGTTGAGGACACGCCTGTGCACCACCTTCAAGACAACAATGCGCTGGGTGCTGTCCTTGAGGAAGTCCGTCAGCTTGCTCTTCAGCACTGGCTTGGTCTCATGCTTGGCAATCACCTTCAGGTTGTCCCAGGAGGCCCTGCACCTCCGCTCCAGCTGCACCAGGCTGTTGGCCAGCTCGTCAAAGTCAACCTGGAAGAGTGAGATGTCAGCTCTCAGCCGTGCTGGTGGAGCTGGGCAGCCATGGCACTTGCACCCTTAACCTTGCCCAGGTGTCATCTGCCTTGCCTCACCTTGGCAGAGCGGGTGATGGAGGCAATCTCTGAGTAGAGGTCAGTGGTTTCTGGGAACTTCTCTACCACCATCTGACAGAGATGGTGGAGCAGGGACTGCCGGTGCACTGTGTCCTTCACTTCCGAGACTTTCTCCAGGTAGCCCAGCTCAAAGCCTCTGCTCTGAAACACCATCAGACTCAGCAGGGCCTTTCCAGCCCTCCTCCAGCAGACCTCCAATCTGCAATCCCATGGAACCCCCACCAGCACCACCCAGCCTCACGCACTGTCACAGACTTCCCATGGTCCCTCTTGGGTACCCATGCACCATGGCTGGTCCTGTCCTTGCAGCACTCAGGACAGGCCACGCCCCTCCTCACCTGTGAGCCGTTCAAGAAGTTGCCCATGGCCAGCAGTGTGGCCAGGATGCACTTGAAGGTGTGATTTCTGGCCAGCTGCTCCATGCCCACCTTCAGATCAAAGAGTGGCTCTGCAATCTCCTGGGTGAAGAGAGAAGCAGGTGAGACCCCTTGGCCACCCTCTCCCTTGGGAGCTTCAGCATTCACCCTCACCCATGAATGCAACCACCTCACGGTCAACCCAAGCCCAAGCTTTCCTTGGGGACCTGCAGCCCGTTCCCAGCCCAAGATGGCACCACCTGTACTTGGCCGTGGCTGGTCCCCACCAGGAACACACGTGGCTCAGCACTCAGCATTGCTAGGGCTGGCAGCGGTGGGAGGGCAGAGAGGCTACATGGCTCTGTACCTGCTCCAGGCTCTCATAATCCAGCTTGAAGGCCCAGAGCTGGAGCCTGGCCGTGAGGTCGCTGATGGAAGACAGGGCAAGCAGAAACTGCTCTGCAGAGCCCAAGGGCACATCAGGGTTGGCCAGCTGGGCCTCCTGGATCTTCTGCTTCTCCTCCCCAGTCGGGACCATGGTCAGGATTTTCTAGAGCAGGTAAAGAGGGCTATGTCAGACTCCAGACACGTCACCCCAGGGCTGGCGGTGCAGGCATCGTGGCACAGAGGCCTCCTGGCCAGGGAAAACCTTGAGGACCTTAGAGGGGCTGAGCTTCTCTCGTGCTTACCTCAATCCCTTCCTTATTGACTGCAAACTCATCAAAGTTGAGCACAGCCGTCTTGATGATGTGCACAGGCGGCAGCACTGTGAGGCCAATGTTGATGGCGTTGCTCCGCTTAGGGTCCAGCACCACCACTACCTTCTTCCCGTCGACAGCCTTCTGCAAAGAGAACAGGATGGATGGGGACAGCCAGGCAAAGGGCTCGCCTTCATGAAGACACCATGGACACAGGGAGCCAATCAGGGACCCAGTAGTGAGCCAGACCTGTGTGCTGCCCATCACCATCCCCACCAAGCCTCCAGGCTGTGGGTACCCATCCTCAGCATAGGGTAGGGATGACAGCACATGCCTAGGGTACCTACAGGAATTAACAGCCTTCCTCCCACCCCTCAAGTCCCTTTGGCTGATGGATGCCAGCCTGCTGGTACCTTTGAAGGTGGCACTTCCTTTGACCGTGACTCAAAGAGATGCTCCAGTTTGGCAGCATTGACCTCAACATTCTGCAGGGATGCCCACAGTGTTGCCTGGCCAAACCTCCCTGACCCCACAGTGCCATCCAGCTGCTTCAGCTCCTTCCAGAAGAGCTTCACTGTCCTTTTCTTCTTAGCCTGGGAGGGACCATCCGCTACTGAGAGGCCTGGCAGCCCTGGGGGAGGCGGGCAGCCAGGGACTGCAGGAGGTGGAGGTGGTGGGCAGCCGGGGACCGCAGGAGGTAGAGGTGGAGGTGGTGGGCAGCCAGGGGCCGCAGGAGGTGGAGGGGGAACCATGAGAGATCCAGCGCTCGTTGCTTTGATGCTGGGAGAGAAGAAGGAGCCATTGGCCATGGGCCCCGTGTCCAGGATGTCGAAGTCTTCCTCTTCCCCCAAATCAGTGAAGTCCAGATCCTTGATCTTCAGCTGCACAGGGCTGGCCTGCAGGTGCTCCCATGTCAGCTCCACATCCTTCTTGATGGGCACCATCCCGGTGTTCTCCAGCTTCTGTGTGTGGGTCTCTGCATCTATGCTGGACATAGCATGTGCCAGCTTGGTGTGGGTGTTGGCTACTGGCCCATCTGGAGCTCTACTGCAGAGCCAGGTGTCCTCCTGCTCCCAGCTGCCACCTCCCCCGGTGTCCATCTCCACCTCACCCTGGACCAGGGGGGACAACGGGATGTCAGGAAAGACCTTCTCCCTCTTCGGCTCTGAGGAGCCCTTGGCGTAGAGCATGTCCAGCATAAACTTGGTGTCGGAGGAGATGGTGCTGCAGGAGTCATTGGTGTCTGGCTGGGCCAGGTGGGACCCTGCGGGGAGAAGGGGAAAGGCTGGGACACCCCGCTTGGATGGGTCAGGTGCTGCTTGGCTGCATGTAGAGTTCGGGTCCTGCTCCCTGGTGAGGTGTGCTTGGATGCTGGCATTCGGAGCAGGATGGGGAGGTACTGCCCAGCTCCTCCATGGCTCTGGGTATCACAGGCATGGGCTGGGGGCAGAGGGGCCGCTAACACCCACCCCAGGGACCCCAATGAGCCCACCACTGGGAACACACCCCCTGGCAGCACCTACGTATGCTGGGTGGCTCCATCCCAGGCTCAGCAGTGCCGCTCTCCCTGTCCCACCGGACAGCAGTGGGACACTCCAGCGCAGCATCACTGAGGACATTGAGCCGTCCCTTGGCCATGGAAGAGATCTTCTCCTTCTGGGCTGCGGCCAGGTTCTCCAAGAAGCGAGCTCTGCAAGGCAGGGGTGGATGTTGGCCAGGAGGAAGGCAGGGATGGCGACGATGGAAACAACAGGCAAACCACGCCATGCCACACTGCACAGCCAGCCCCGCAGCACAGAAACCCCCTGCATCGGCCACACCGCATTGGGGACCCGGAGGATTCAACCTTCTCTGAGCCCTGCAGGGAGACCGATGATGCCACCACGGCTCAGGGACAGGGATGCCGCAGACCCATGGGAGCCGGAGGCTTGTGCCGTCAGGGTGCCACCATCACCTGTTGGTCCCAATGGACCTGGTGCTCACTGTGACCCTCGTCCAAAAGCTGCAAAACCCAGGAGGGCACCCAGGAAGAGACTGGTGGGGACCCTCCTGCTCCTCATGCCCTGTGTGGCCAGAGCCCAGATGCCTCTGGCCAGGCCACTGGCCCAAGGAAGCGCATGCCTGGAGACACACGCATGCCTCTACTTACTCAAACTTCCTCAAAATGGGCTTGTTCCCATGCAAGGAGGGAGCATCCTCCCGCCTGAGGGAAAACAGGGGTCAGCCCCCACTGCCAGCAGCCCCCCGGGGCTCGTGCCTCCTGCACGCACCCGCTTGGCAGCCCTCCAGCGTGGGACCCTCATCCCACCGTCACCCCATGGCCCTGGGGTTCATGGGGAGCTGGGAGAGCTCCAGCGAGTCCCATCCTGCCTGGGCACCGTGTGGCAATGGGTGCTGGCAAGACAGGGCACCGTTCCCTCCCTACCAGAGCCACCCAGTTTGCCACCAGAATAGCCCCTTGCCAGCCCTGGGGTGGGCTGTGCCACCCCCAGCAGGGACACCTCACCCCAGACTGGGGGGGATGAGAAGGTGCCATCACCCCATGGGGGATGCTGGCGATGGGGGGAGCAGGCTGCAGTGCTGCAGGCAGGGCTCAGAGGGGAGAGGCGAGGGGTGGGGGGAGTGAGGTGGGCACAAGGGGCAGCGAGTGGGGCAGGCCGGTGCCCGCTCCTGCTGGAGCATCACGCCGGGAGGAAGCACACGCGTGCAGAGCCTGGGCACTTACCAGACAGGGGAAGTTTGGTGCAGCCTGCAAAAGGAAAGATAGAAAGAGTGGGCAGAGGAGAGGGCAAGCGTGGGCAGAGAGGAGCGGCGAGGAGGAGCTGGAGCAGAGCTGTGTGTGCCCGAAGGATACCCTAGAGACCCTGGCCAGACCCTCTCAGATGCCCACTCCCCTGTCACGCTTCTCTCCAGCCCCAGTGCCTTCCCAGACCCTGTTTCCCCCCCAAGCCTCCCACCCAAGCCCCAGCGGGACCCCCGTGCACCCAGCCCCTCCTGGCTGCTTACTTGTAGACGCTGCGCTCGCCCAGACCCGGGGGCTGCTCCTCAGCTGGCGGGGAGGCCAGGGCCAGCCGCACGCTGGATGCACTGTTGTAGACACTGCCGGGACAGGGTCTGGAAGAAGAGGTGACAGGGACTAGGAGCAGGTCCCGCAGGGCTGCCCTCCGCCCTTGGGTGGATGCAAGCACTGCTCATGCCGCATCCCAGCATCTTCGCTATCCCGGGAGCATCCCTGCCACGGGCCACCTCCAGCTGTACTTACTCTGCTGGGCTGCTCGGCGTGGGGACAGATGGGGTGTCCTTGGTGGGGGGCTCCTTCAGGGTGCCAGCGGACTCCAACAGCGGCTGGGCATTGGGGCCAGGCTCCGGGCAGCTGCCCTGGGATCGCCACCCACGCCTGCCCTCGTCCATCCTCCTCTCCTTGCGTCCCCCCGAGGGCGACTCTTCCACATCATCCTCCAGCTTGAGAGCACTCTGTGGAGGGGCCGGGTGGGCATGGCATCAGGCATGGCCACCCCTGCCACCTCACCTGCCTGCCCTCCCCGCTGCCACGGGACATGGCCAGATCCCACGGGAGCCCTGCTCACTTCATAGAGCACGAACTGCTGCTTCAAGTCGAGGTCGGTGCCCTTGCTGCCCAGGTATTGCTGCACCAACCGCTCCATGCCCTGCTGCTCCAGGCAGTCTGTCACATCGTAGAAGGTGTCCTGGTCTGGGAGGGCTGCCAGTGTCTGAGCAGGACCAGAGGGACATTGATGGGACCGGTGTGACCCACACCGAGCCCCACCAGTGTGGCATTGCTGCCACCCCCCTGGACCTTGTTGATCAGCGTCATGGTGAACACCAGCAGCTCCGTGTCAGCCCCGTGGCGTTGCTCCAGAATGGCCATCAGGTTGGACCATGGGCATGTGCCTGAGAAATGTGACACATCAAGGTGACACAGAGGCAAGAGCAGGTATGCCGTCCCCCAGCGGGGACCTCTCGGGCAGCTGGGTCTGCACCCACCTCTTGCCCGGTCCACAGCATTGACGGCGTGGATGAGGAGCAGGGCGTTGGGCTCCGTGTACTCCACGAACACCAGCAGCAGCTTCAGCGCCATCTTCACCACCAGGCGAAACTGGGACAAGGGATGGTGGCTGGGACAGTGGCAGGAGGCTGCCAGTGCGATGCCAGGGCACTGCAGGGTGGCTGTGCCCATGCCCTGGGGCTGGGGCCTTTGCTGTGGGGCCAGGGAACAGCCTGCAGCTGTGATGGCACCGGGAAGGGACCTGGAGCGTGACCCAATCTTACTCAAGCTCTGCACCCAGGAGCACGGTGACATCAGGATGGGGAGCTCTGGGACCCAGTGTGACTTTCAGATGGGTGGGAGCAGGACCCGACATATCCAAAGGTACCAGGGCACCAAACCCAATGGCAGCATGGGGTAAATCCCCTGAAGGATGGTGCAAAGGGACAGCCACGGGGCTGTGGAGTGCAGCGGGGGGCACAGGCAGCCCCCCAGGGGCAGCAGGGGCTTACCAGGCTTCCCGACAGCGTGTACAACCACTGGACGGTCTCGTTGTGGTTGATGACACCCTGCATCCCATCCACAAAGAGCATGATCTGGCTCAGAGCTGCAAGGCAGAGAGCGGGCAGGGTCACAGCGTGGTGGGCAGGGCTGCAGCAGGCAGGGGTAGGGCTTTCCCAGCCCCGCGCAGCATCGCCACGACAAGGGCAGGGTCTGGCAGCTGCCTGCAAGGTAGCCCAAGCAAACTTGCTTGCTTACACCCACCACCCAGTGCAGCCTTCCTCCCCAGGGCTGAGAGGTGCCCCGTACCCAAATACCAACCCCGGAGGATGTAATTCTGGTAGTTCTGGTCAGCCTCTGCCCCCACTTTGATCAGGCATGTCAACCCATCCAGGTTCACGAACTCTGGCACCAGGTCCTTGTCCTCCTGCAGGGTGAAGGCCAGGCATTCCGGCAGTGTGGGGAGGCAGGGGCAGGCAGCCAGCCCTGGGGAGCTCCCCCAAGCCCCCCCACACCGGCATCACCGTACCTGAAAGAGCTGCTTGAGGGAGAAGAGGGATCGCCGCAGCTCTGGCCCCTGCGAGTTGTACAGCTTCTCTGGAAGGAAAGGCAAGACGTGGCATGATAGCCTGACCCACAGGGGCTCCGAAATGCTCCCAGCTGGAGCATTTTCCCTGGGAAAGCCCCACATCCCAGCTCAACCCCTGTGCTGTCACCCCAGGATGCCGGCACTGCCTGGCTGTCGGACACACAGGGTGGAAGCAGCTGCAGCTCCACAACTACTTATTTCAGCCCTGTCACCTCCCTATTTGCTTTTTTCCTTTTTTTTTTTTCCTCTGCCCAGCAATGATATAAATATATCCCCTCTGGTTTCCTGTGCAGAACCGAAACAGGAACC